CGCGGCCAAGCTCCAGCAAGGAGCCCCCCTCCCCCGGCCCCTCCCCGGGGCCCTCTCTCCATCCCCCTCCGCCCCTCCCTCCATCTCCCCCACCCCAGCCAGGGGCGCACTCCAACCGCAGGCGCTGCCGACTCCCCACCCACCACCCAGCCCACCGAGCCGCAGCACGGACCATGCCTGCGGCCCGCCGGCGACACTCCTCGTGCTGGGACGGAAACCCAGCGCGCTGGGACGGAAACCCAGCGCACTTGCGCGACCCCGCCCTCCCTTCACGGGCAGGGGGCGTGGCCAGGGCGTGTGCGCGCCGACCAATCTCCCCTCTCTGGGCCAACCGTCTGCGGCGGGAGGCGGGGCCGAGGGAGGGAAGGCCTAGCGAGAGCCAATGAGCTCCGGCGCCTCTGACGTCGCCTCGGCCCGCCCCCGACGTCGCCTCGGCCCGCCCCCGGCGCCGCCTCGGCCCGCCCCCGACGTCGCCTCGGCCCGCCCCCGACGTCGCCTCGGCCCGCCCCCGGCGCCAGCTTCCGCTCGCAGTTGCCGGGGCCTCCGGCTTGGCTCTCGGGACCTCCGGCTTGGTTCCCGGGACCTCGTTCAAGGTGGCGCTCTAGGCCGTCACGAGCCCAGTGGCCTTTTTTTCCTAAAGCTCCCTTTGATCACGCTCGGTACCTCCCTCTGTGGGGGGGAGTGTGAGAGACCCACAGAAGGTCCCGTATGCGCTCCAATTTCTTTGCTTCGGTCCTTGGTTTTCCTTTGTTTCTAAGGAGGTGTGTTGGGAGCAGGTATCCGGAAATGGTGCCAGCCTTTAACTGACTGGCCTTCTTTCCCTTCCACCCCCTCACCTCACCCTCCCGTTCTGGGCTGTCCGGTGCAGCTGGTAGCTGGGGAGATTGCAGGGCTCCAGAGCCGAATCGAGTGGGGAAGAGCCCAGATTGAAGCCCTGCAGCAGGAGAAACAGAAGCTGCTTGAGCAGCTGAAGGTGGCACGAACACATTCTTTAACATCGGGAGGCCAAATAAATGATTTTGTTTGCTGACCATCCACCTAGTGCCTTTCTGGCCTATGCCTTCGAATCCTTCCTAGCCCTCGACGGTTACTTATCCTGGCTTCCCCCTACCTCCCTTGGGTATTGCTCAGGCTGTGAAGCTCAGCTCCCTCTTCCTGACATTTAAAGCAAAAAAGAAAAAAAAAAGGAAAGGAAAGCCCAGTACTGTCACAGAACTAGACAAAATCACAAGGTGGGTGGGGGTGGAAATAGGTGGGTGCAAGACCTCAAGAGAAATGATGACCAAAAGGGGTGGATGACAGAGATGCTTCTAAAAGCCATGAAAAGCACTTGTAAGTAGCACGAACAATAGATTGCTAGAGGAAGACCCCCG